TCAACGTTTATTTTTCCTTTTCCTATTTAAATATACTCTTTCCTCAAAAAAAAAGTATTTATTTGTGTAACAAATATTTTACACAGTATTTTCTTTTGAGTTAAATCACTTTCACTCTGTTTTCATGGTTGTCCTGGCTGTGAGTACTTTTTGAATCAAGACAATTATTTATCTTCGTCTTTTTAAAAAGATTGATTTCGTGTTCCTTCACCAACCATGATCTGGGATGAAATGTACCTTGATGTCAGCAGTACCTTCATTATCAGGATCTTCATGTACCTTGTTGTCAGGATATCCTTGATCCTGAGGGTCCTCTACATGTTCCTTTAATTTACTCCAAAACCCTCTACATGAACCTTGATCCTCAGGATGTTAGGAGTACTGTGATCCTGACACCTTAATATGACCTTGATATAATTAGGACCTTGATTCTGAGAATCATCTATGTGAACCTTGATATTGAAATACATTGACATTTATTTATTTATTTATTTATTTATTTATTTATTTATTTATAATTTGAGCACACTTACAGAGGTACAAAAAAAAATACAGATAAGAGCAGCATGCCAAAGCCACTTATACTATGCATAGCATTATGGGCTGGCTTAAAATTAACTTAAGATTAACTAAGCAATGATGAAATCAGTGAAAAACATTAATGTAAACTGTTTACTATAAAGCACAAGTAAAGTATTACAAAGACAGGTCATATGGTTGCATGCATTGTTGTAAATTCAGTAGAATGGAGTATTTGTTAGGTAGTGAATTTAAAAAATAATAAAGTTGATTGGGTTTTAGGTTTAACATTTATGTGATATAATTGTGAGAAACATTTAAGATATACAATTTATAAGGTTCAGTTATTCAGTATTTTTTTGGGTTTTTGGGTGAGTAAGTGATCTTTGAGAAGAGACTTGAATTTATAAACAGGTAGTTTTTTCTTTTATATTTAAAGGTAATGAATTCCAGATTTTAGGGCCTTTTATGTCATTGAGTTTTTGCATAGCGTGAGATGGACACGGGGAATATCAAAGAGTGATCTGTGCCTTGTGTTATGGTCATGTGTTCTGTTGAGGTTGGCAAGGAGATGTTTGGGGGGAGGGTTAATTTCAGAGTTGAGTGTTCTATGTATGTAATAGGTGCAGTAATAAGTATGGTTTGTTTTGTATGGTGAGTAGGTTGAGTGTTTTTGAATATTGGTGGAGTGTGCTGCCTGTAGTGAGAATTTGTTATCATTCTAACTGCAGCCTTTGTTGGGTAATTAGTGGTCTGAGTGGTTACTTGTTGTTGAGCCCATGCACAAATTCCATAGGTGAGATAGGGGTAAATAAGAGATTTGTATAGGGCCAGGAGGGCTGACTGGGAGCATAGTACCCGTATCTTCGATAGTATGGCCTACAGTCTTGGAAATTTTCTTAGAAATTTGTTGTATATGTGTATGAAATTTGAGTCTATTTCAAGGTGGATTCCTAAAAAATTTTTCCCTCTGTTAGCTTTGTGATAGGTGATCCGTTTATCATTATGTTAAGAGGGACATCTGTAGCTCTGTTACCAAACTGAATGAAGTAGGTTTTGTCAATGTTTAGTGTAAGTTTGTTAGTACTCATCCAGGTAGATATTTTCTGTAATTCGGTATTTACAGTATTGGCTAGCGTGACTGGGTGGGGTGGGAGAAGACGTATGTTGTTTCATCACCCAAATAGTGTGGGTTTGAGTAATTGAGAAGCATTTGGTAGGTCATTTATGTATGGGGAGAAAGAGAAGAGGCCAAGGACACTTCCCTGTGGGACACCAATGTAATTGGTTGTGCAGAAGAGTTTGCCCCATTTGCGTACACATATTGGCTTCTGTTGCTGAGGTAGGGACTTGAGGTGTTGAGGGAGTGCCCTCTTATACCATAGTGTGATAATTTTACGTGGAGCAAGTCATGGTCAACTGTATAAAAAGCTTTACGTAAGTCAATGAAGATCCCCAGTGGGACTTCTTTTTTCTCTTTGCAGTGTATATATGTTCTAGCATGTGTATAATAGCATCATTAGTATTTTTATTAGGCCTGAATCCAAATTGGCAGGGGTTGAGTATGTTTTGGGAGATAAGGTAGGAGTAGTTCGTTTATGAATTAATTTTTCGAAGATTTTTGAGAGAGGTGTAAGTTGGATATTGGCCTATAGTTATTCAACTCTGTTTGGTCTCCTCCTTTGGGATCGGGGTGACCCTTGCTATTTTGAGTACTGTAGGGAAGGTGGAGGATTCAATGGATTTGTTAAAGAGTGTTGCAATGATTGGTGATAGCACTTGTGACATTTTTTTTGTATATAAAGGGTGGTAAGGTATTTAAATCTCCTGCCTTGTTTTTTAGTGCGTTGATAATAAGGGAGACTTCGTATGGGGTTAGTCGGAGCTGGGAAACAGTGTGTTCGGGTAGTTGCCGGTGAGGTAGTCATTTGGTGGGGTATCTGAGCTTGGGATTTTATTGGCAAGGTTTTGTCCTATAGTGGAGAGAAAATCATTGAGTCTGTTTGCTGTTTCTGTTGGTGGGAGTTGGGGTTCATCTGATTTTGCTAATTTTATTTCGCTATTTGTGATATCTTTTTTGTTCCAGAATTTTGATAGGGGTTTTTCCAAAGGTCTTTTTTATATCACCGTAAGTGGATAATCTGTTCTCATAATACAATTTTTTTGCCCTTCTTATCAGGCTGGTTAGGATTGACGAGTAACGTTTTGTTTGGTCTCTGGTTATGTGACCCATTCTGTACTGTTTTTCATATTGGTGTTTTGTATTTATGGATTTGAGAATGCTGGGTGTTAGCCAGGGACTGTTCAGTCTCTTAGCTGTCATCTGCTTAGTTTTTTAGGGAAATGCTTGTTATAGAGGTATTGAGTTTTTTTTTTAGAAAAATTTTTAATACATTCGTCAATATCTGTATTGATTTCTAGCTCAGTGTGCCAATCAATGTTTGCTAATGCTGTTGTGAAGTTATTAATGGCTGCCTCATTGTGAAGTCTGAAGGTGACTTTAGTAGTGTCTTGGGGTAATTTACAAGAGTTGTTATGAGGAAAGTAGGGTAGTGGTCTGTGGTATTATCTGTATTATGCCTGATTTTAAAGGGATATGGTGTTGGTCCAGATGTGGTCAAGTAGGGAAACACTAGTCTCTGTAACTCTTGTAGGTTTTGTTACTGTTGGTAGCAACATACAGTTACTCATTGTGTTTGTGAATTCAGTAACGTGTGGGTCCTGGTTTTTGCAGGAGATTTTATTGAAGTCACCTGGAGTAGTAAGTGATCTTTGTTCATGCGTGATCCCGTTATCATACTTCCTAGGTTTTTACTAAATTGGCTAATGTTTGACTGTGGAACTCTGTAGATTTTTTATCAATGTGAGAGGTTTTCGAGGTATTTGGATTTTAATTTTTGGGTATTATATATTCCCCATGTTCATCTCTTGTGCAAGTATTAGTGATACATTTTAGTTGGTCTGAGTAGTATATGGGTGTGCCACCCCTTGTTGGTCTGGCCTACAGTTGTGTAGGCTGTGTAACCAGGAATGGTATAGACATCTGTAGTATCAGGCTTTAGCCAGGTTTCAGTTAGTGTAATGATGGACATATTGGCATGTAAGGAATTTAGTAATGCTATGAGGTCATCGTAATGCTTGCTTAAAGATTTTGATATTGTAGTTAAAGATAGTTATGTTGTTGTTGGCACTGAGAAGTGCCTTTGATTGTTCT